TTCAATACGTTTATGCAAATAGTTCAAATCAGAAATTAATTTGATATAACATAAATCTGCAAAAAAATAAAAATAAATATTAAAAAAAAAAAAAGAAAAAAACGAAATTTCCAAAGTCCGATAATATTCCACCCAAAAGCCAGAAAAAAATCATAATCGTAGCGATATTAAATGTATATATCTATATTCCATGTTGTCAGACAAATTGGTTAGTATAAGTATTGGTTGAAAAGCTTATGAAATTGTCCGCGTTTAATGTTCATTTTGATTATCTGGGAAATAAACACCAAAAGAGTTATTTTGGTTCACATCTCCAAAAGTATTATTTGGGCTCACATCCAAGTAAACGAAATCGATAGTTCCAGCGGCGTTATTTTGCGAATCAACATTTTGTGAAATCACAATTGTTGGAGATAGATACGAATTTTGCTGTGCAAAGTATTGCGCATCTGGACTTGGAAATATTGGAGACGCTGAAGGAGCGAACGGGGAACCGCTAATTTCTGAACCATCATCCGATCCAGTGCCGGGTATCGGTGATTGTAACGACATGGTAGCAATTCCGCTTGCCATTCCATTCGTAGGAGATGGGGAGACCGATCCGGACATTGAAGTAGCGGTATTTATCGATGAATTATTGAGTTCAGAGGCAAACTGCATTTGTACAATCTGATCATACAGTTCTGGTGGTATGATCATGAAAGAAGACTCAGGTTCGCAGCAAGATAATGTGTTTTCAGCAATCATCTTTAGACTCGAAATTATGGTATTCGAGTCTTCGTTTCGTAATAACTTTTCAAGAAAAGCTTTCATTAATTGTAGGTACAATTTTGTACATCTGCTTTCTTCAATGGATTTTCTCAATTGTCCATAGATTTCTTGGTTTTCTTGGCAGTTGTTAAAATAATCGTAGCAATCAAATAACAGGCTTTGAATTTGTTTTTCCAATTTCAAAATTTCGATGGTATATTTTAGTTGTTCGGATTTTTGTTTAAAGTCATTATGGGTTTGCCTCAAAGATATTTCCAAATTGTTGACCTGTGTGTTGAGTTTTTCTACTTGACGATTTTTGCGAGGGGATTTATCAAACACACAAGTTCCAGCATCACAATTTGTGCATGGTAAATCTTTTTCAGCATCACCATCGCATTTAATTTTTAGTTGACGACATTTTTCGCAAGCTCTTCTGTTAATCGTGCCACGAGGTTGTCGGCGAACTACACGGGATTCACCGGTTGTTAATACTGTCTGGTTCATATTTTAAGCTTATTATTAAATAATGGATTGTATGCGAATATATATTATATATCTATCTATCTATATGCGTGTTTATATTCAACCTTAATTAATTATATATTTGTTTGTATTCACACAATTCATGTAAAGACAAATAAAATAGATCGAAAGGTGTGTAATTCGATGGGCTTTCAAAGCCAATTTTAACACCGAATTTTTAACGAGGAGTGTTCAGAATGAAACGAAAGGTATTTAAGATGTTCGTAAACGATCAAAATAAGAAAACCTCAAAATATAAGAGCAGTCTTGATAAACTGTCTTTGAAGAAAAGAAGATGCAGAATTATTCCGGCTGACTTTCACAGCGAATTTACGAAATTTATAATTTTTTGCTTTATGTTGACGGTGGGGCACAGCAATTTACTGCGTTTCTCTTTGTTAGAATACTTAATTTGATTTATTTAACGTATTGCAAATTTTTGATGTACCAAATATATTTCTATTCGTATTATTTGGTGTTCTAGATGGTTTTTGGCTGACCCGTAAGTTGAAATCGGTTATTTTTATGAATTTTTTTGTTACACAACTGGCTCACCAGCCACATTCTTGTGGCTGATAAAGTTCCATGAAAACGTTCCAAGTTCGTGATTATCTTTTCGGCTGAACACAAAGTATTAAAGTTTAGTTCAGCCACATACGTAAACACAGAAGTTCAGCCAATTTCTTTCACTAGCCACATTACTTTAATTCGTTTAATTCGCCACTACCCGATCTGCAATCATACCGATAAGGTTTTCTACATGGAAGAATGTGAAAGAATAATACTAACTAAATTTGTAAACATCCGGAAAATAGACTACGATGATCAAATGAAATGGTTCATTTTACTTTGAGTATCAGCCACTACTAGAAATCAACAAAGTGTTTTGGAAAGGGTGATTTTGAATACCGGGTAAAAGCGTAAGATAATGAACATGTTTCAAAATTTCGAATGCCATTGCATATTTTGTGGTTGTTAGTATGAATACTTGGAACCTTCTAATTGATTATTCCATCGTTTCATTATTCTAATTAAGGGACTTTGTGGTTCGATTGAGATTTCCCTATTATTCATGTGACCTATATGGCATTCGGCCGTTTCACGATTTATCTTCTCTGATGACTTGTTTTAAAATCTGTGATACAAATGTCCTCTTTTAATCTATTCTCATTTTTTTTTTTAGAAAAAAAAATAAAGAATTACTATTATTATTTTTTGCACACAATTCATTCTTATTTTTTTCTCGTTTTTTTCTTTCTTTTTTTTATTTTTATTTTTATTTTTATTTTTTTGCAGATTTATGTTATATCAAATTAATTTCTGATTTGAACTATTTGCATAAACGTATTGAA